CCATTTGGTTTCTAGAATAATCTTTAATTCTTACCTTTAGAGTCCCAGATTTAAAATGACGGGTCTTCTGCCCTGCTCCTTACAAGATCCTATGACACAAATTTGTTGTTGTCGAAGTCTGTCAGGTCTTCTCTAGCATGAGACACTGCAAGATAAGTGACCTCCAGTGCTTTCCAAGGACATGCTATGACACTAGCACCTCTCTACACAAACCTGCACAGAGGAAGATGAGCAAATTTTCTCAGAGCCACTGGGGGTTCTTTGGTTTCATTGGAGCTTTTTAATTTCAACTCTGTGGAGCCTGACCAGAGTTAAAGCAGATTTTTAAGGGCTTTGCTCAAATGGCTCCAACTGCAGACAGGCTGGAAGCATTGGCCACCTCTGTAAGAAGCCTCTTCCAGTGTTTGGCCACCCTGTGGCAAAGGCAGTGTTTGTTGGGACTGAAGGGGAGGATGAGGAACCTGACTCCACAATTTGTCCAATAGATATGTATATTTGCTATCAGCCTGAGTACTGCTCTACCAGTTCATACCCAGCATTTTTGGGGGGGAGCCCTCTTTACTCCTTGTTATACTTGCATAACCTATACTTGGGTTATGCAACCCAAGTATGGCAGATTTTTTCATTTCATTTCATTTCATTTCATTTCATTTCATTTTCCCAATGAAATTTTGCCCCAATTGTCCTTCCAGATGTATTTATTTTTTGCATAAATTAGCACTCATATTCAAAGCAACCGTCAGCCATGTTGTAACTTACAACAAAGCAAAAATCTCATTTGGCCTTCCTATGAAGCATGGCAGTCCTGTAAAGGACAACTGCAAATTGAGAAAGCAGTATATACAATTTTTAATACCTTCATACCTCTGTCAGGATCACCAGAAATGAAGATAGTTTTTATGAAAGCTGGCAACTTTTTTATTTCACCCTAAATATTCAGCAGATGACCATAGCTAATGATAAAACTGTCTGCTTATTCCAGATGAAATATTGTCCTTTATAAAAATTTTGCTGAACAGATTTTGGCTTTTTAAGCTAATCAAGAGTCATCTATGAACAGACTGTGTTCTTTATCAAATGTCTATGTTTGCTCAAAATTTGCCAACTGGCTAGATTCACCAACCAAAATGTTTTTACATTTATTTCCATCACAAATTCCCTCCTGCCCTAACCTTTCTGAGGACTGTAAACAAGTAATATTTGGTGCTGAGTTTTATATTGAATATCAAGAGAAGTTAACTATCACATGATAGTTAACTCATGGCTTGCCATAATTCCAATAGCCCATTTTTTCTTCATTTCAGTTTTTCAAGTGGGATTTGCAAAATACACTCTCTGTTCTCGAGAGCACTGTTAGCTCCACACTGAATTCACAGTAAAGGCACTAAATTAATTTCATGGCTGCTTCACAGTCACATCCTTCTAAGGACTTAGCTGAAGCTGGGATTATTTAGCTGTGAGATACATTACAGTAAATGGAAAAAATAACAGTGATTTTCATGAAAATTTGGACTCTTTTCTCTTCCTTCTCTACCTGTCCCTCAGTATCACTTTTAGCACTATTGGGAGATTTTTCAGCAGTGTGCAGCTAAGATGTGGTGTTTGGGTTTTTGTTGGGATTTGTTTCCTGTTTTTATCTCCTTTTCCTTTCTGGTTAGTAGTGTATGTGTGTAGGTGCCCTCATCCTCTAAGATTTACTGACAGACACAGAGACTAAAATCAAAACTGTGATAAAAAAAATGACCCAGAGTACTGAGAAGCTGTTAAACTTAAATTATTAAAGGAAGATTTGCATTACACCCAATAGAAAATTAAATATGATATTTAGGACACCTGAATTCTTCAAGGTCATTCAAAAATTAATGGTCTAATTTGAGTGACTTCAATTAATCCAACAGGATTTGTGACTTCCAGCTTTTCTTTGCTTAGTGAAAAGCTAAGGTTAGTGAAAGCTAAGGTCTCTAAAATTAAAAAAAAATATAAAGTAAGAAAACTAACAAAATATTTTTCTGTTAGTGTCTGTAGATCAGTGATGTTTTCTTCCAAGGCCTGAGAAACAAAGAAAAAAAAGAAGTTTCACTGTTCAGGGTTCTGCTTTGCTTTTTGTTACATTTCAAAGACTTCCTGAGGAGAAATACAATTTTATAGAGATGGCCAATGACAAATATTGAAATACTTTTGCATTTATTAAAAACTTGCCCTATGAAGACTTAATTGAACACTGTTTTATCTCTGGCTGAACACAATTACATGATTTCTTTTGTTTTAAAAACCCACACATTTCTAACTGATTGTCCTAAGTGAATCTTACAAATTCAAATGCATAAATGTATCAATAATTTATAATGATGAAAATGAAATAGAGTGGATTTTGACTCTGGGAAGTTAAGTTTAGGGAAAACATGATTTCTCATTCTGGATTTACTGAAAAATATCTTATTTACATATAAGGATTTTTATATTACTGATCTGGAGACAATTCATTCAGACAATTTACATGTTGTTTTCCACTACAATGCAATTATTTTGATAGGTGACATTGAGGCAGTCACCTCTGTAGTGTCAGAGTATATGCTTGCAACCTTAATTTAGGTGTTCATTCCAAAATAGTCAAAAGGAAATTCTTCAATCCACAACTATTTATTCTCTTTGGAGGTATACATATCATATTGAGATATGATAATCGAAAGCATGTTTTACTGAGTCAATACATATTTAAGGGAGTGGCCTCTTTTTAAACATTGGCAAATCCTTTTACATTTTGTTTTCTACCTCCATCACCCACATGAAGGCTTGCCTCAGGAAACTCATGGATGCTATCATTGTCTCCTGTCAGCATTACTGATGTTTATGCTTCTTTCTTTTAACTAATTTTAAACAATGAGGAAGACTGAGGCAAACTTTCATGTAGGAAAGGGTAGATAGTGGGTGCTGTGCACTATCTGATTTTTGTGATCTCTTCCACAACACTCTGCTTAGAAGCTTCACAAGAGAATGCTGTGCCAAGCCCAGGTTCTTCCTGCGTCTCATTCACTTAGGGACTGAGAACAATTTCATGTTCTAGCTACAAGAAAGCAGAGTCAGTGATAAATTCGCTGTCTGCTAATCCTATGGGACAAATCAGCTGATAAAACACCCTGACAGATAATTTATTGAGACTATATATTAGCATATACAGGCATACAAATGTCAGGCTAAGCTGTACATAAGTAAGGGTGCACAAGCACTGGCATGCTCTCTGCTTCCCTGGGTGAATGTTCTGTCATCTTGCATACCAGGTTTTTTATTTTTTCTGTGTTTCTCAACATCTGAGTGGTGTTTGTTTCATGTGATTTGAATGTGAGCTGTGAACCTTTTCTCACAAAGAAAGTGACAGATATGTTGCCTCTGGAAAGAATTTTTTTCTGCTTCCTTTCAAGCTGCTCCTTGCTTGGTGATGCTGGTGGTGAATGTATGGTAGTGAGGAGCACATGAACTCATTCAGTCAGATTATGCTATATTCACAAAGCTTTTTAAATTCACCATCATGTCTGTTTGCTATGTTAAGCTCATCTGTGAAATAGTTACTGAGGCAAAATTTTCTTGCCCAGCTGCAATGCAACCCAGGGAAAGCAAGATAGACATCCCTGCATTTGCACTCTCTGCTATCCTATGAATTCTCAGCTGAAATTTCTGAGTTTTAGGGCAAGCCAATGAAAAGATCTACCAAATCCAAGCCTTTTCCAATGAAAAATGTAAGGACAGTCTTCATGGTTTCATTTGAAAGCCATATAATAGCTGCATTAGGATAAGGAACTATTTTTCAACTTGAAAGTTTTGGTGAACTTGCAGATTTTTACCTCCTTTCATCATATTAAAATGACAAGCATCTTCTCCAACCTGGATTCAAGAAGTGTCAGTTAACAGCTAGTCTCTCACACATCCTACTTCCCTGGTGTACACAAGGTGTTCCTGAGACAAAATAACAGAGGCTGGATTGCCACTGCCTGTTAAACATCGAGTAACGTGGGAGGCCTGCAGATAAAAGCAACTTGCAGTCTGGAGCATATTGTCATTGCATGACTCAAGGGGAAAGAAGAAAAACTGGAAGGTTTCTTACTTCCAGCTGCCTTGGCCCCACAGCACAGGTCTGCAGGGCCTTGGGGCCAAAGCTGGCAGTGCTCTGCAGCAGCTCAGCTGGCAGGAGGCAAGCAGGGAGCAGCACAGGACCCAGCAGGGTCTGATGTGAAGTGCACCCCAAAACCAGCACCCTCTGACAGTGCTGGCCCAGCTGCAGATCAGAGGGAAAACCTGTGTGGGGAGAAAACCTCTGCTGCCATGTTGATTCTGATCAGAGGAAGGGGACTTCAGTGTCTGCTCCTGCTGCAGTCACACAAATACTCAGTGTTTCATACTTTGGCTGACTTTCTGTTGCAACCCCATACTGGCATATCTAGTACCACTTTTAACTAAAAGGACTGTTTCTGGTAACTGGAGAAGTGATGTTGATTTACATTGTTTAGTTATTAACACTGAAAGGGACATTGCTATCTTGACCCTCAAAAACATGAGATTAAAAAATAAAAACTTCAAATGTAACAAAAAGTCAATTTTTCAAAGAAATCACTTTAAAAATTATTTCAGTGGAAATCTATCTTCTTGATTAACCTTTCCTAAAATAAATAATATTGTGGAATGACAAGGAAAAATTTAAAAAAATTACAAAAGATAATCAAAAGATGACAACTTGATGAAATAGTTGATTTCTCGTGAAGCATTTAACTTTTAATGAATTCAAGATCTCTGGGGTGGTGGTGGGCATGTGTTTTATTTATTTATTTATGTATTTTATTTATTTATTTATTTGTTTGTTTATTTAAAAATCCCTGACTGGCACCTTGTTTATGACTCTAAAGCTTTATAAGAGAAAGAAGGAAATCCCTTTTATATATAGGTTTTTTTCACATTTTCATGTAATTTCATCTTTCTTTGTAACAACCCTTTTTTTCTTACCATTGTAGGCAATGAGAGCTTAGAAGAAAATTACGTGCAGGACAGTAAAATGGGATTTGTCATCAATGCAATATACGCTATGGCTTACGGGCTGCAGAACATGCATCATTCCCTTTGCCCCGGACATGTTGGACTGTGTGATGCTATGAAGCCAATTGATGGCAGCAAGCTCCTGGAGTTCCTCCTCAAATCCTCATTCATTGGTGTTTCTGGAGAAGAAGTTTGGTTTGATGAGAAGGGAGATGCCCCTGGAAGGTAAAGAGGGTTCATCTCAACTATTAAACCAGAGGGTGGGAAGCGGGAATGTTACTGTGTTTGGTGATGTAGATTTCTTTGGCTTTTTTTCCTGAAGCATAAAGCATGGACCATTCTTTCCAACAGCCAGGAATAACACTGGTAACACATGGTATCTTATACTGGGACAAGAACTACAGCAGAGCTTATAAATTTCTGGTGCTACAGGAGATGAAAAACCTTGTAACTCACAGAATTCTGGTGTGCAAGGTACTATCGGGTCTCAGTACCAGGGTTTTAGCATATATAAGGCCTAATACAAATTATTGGAATTTAATGAAGAATTTACCTGACATGGTTTTGAATAGAGGGCTGTAGAGCTCATCTATTCCAACTGGAGCTCCGCTGAAACCTTGCCAGAGACTAGTGTTGATTGGTAAGATCCTTTATGATCTCCTTAATTTGTTCACTCCAAATAGAATCAGATCAGTCCCTGAATTTAAAGATAGGTCTGTGTAGAGCAGGACAAATAATAGGGGGCTTTTGGCAGAAGTTTCTGTGTTTCACTCATTTGGGGTCTGGTCCCAGATGTGGCAGCTGCTGTTGTTTAGCCCCCCCCAGCAGACACAGGATGTACCCCAGCAGTGGGTAAGGCAGCACCTTTGGGGACTTGGATGTCATCTTTGCTTCTCTTATGGTAATGAACTGACTGAGATCTTTCATTTAGTTTTGTGCATTCCATTTTAACACGGGGATTCTTTTTTCTTTGTTTTCTTTTTTACAAATACATTTAATTCAGCTGCTGAAGTACAAAGTCCATTATTAATTGAAACCTACCCAGGGATTGCTTCACTGAAGTTTGTTTTCCTACTGAGTTGTTGAAGTGCTATAAAAGGCTCTCTCACTCCATCTTTGGGCTTATTGCATAAGTGCATCTGAGTGCCAGCACCACACAAAGGAAGGACTCTGGAGCAAACAAGAGTTTTCATGTCTTTCCATGCCTCCAATGAGTATTCATAACACACGGTGGTCTTAAAGCAACTCTTATCTCTAGTACTAGGTTTTATTAGCAAAACTGGCCAATATTTTGCCATTTTCTAGATTGTTATGGTTTCTTTCTATTGTCATATTTAAACAGTATATATGTAGGGGGATAGAATATAAGAAAATAAATGTAGTATAGAAAGTAATCTTAGCCCTAAAGAGTTGCAGCTGGGCCAATTATTAAAGATTAGGAGCAGGCCTGACTTTAACAGGCCACATCTGTAACCAGTGAGAAGAAGAGTGCTATAAAAGAGTGGATTGGGTGGTTCAGGGGTAACTGGAGTCAGTTGGTTACTCTGAGAAGAAGGAAAAGTCAGTACCTAGTGGTGCTGCCTATAAGAAACATCAAGGAGGTATGAAACTCTTGCATGAAGGAGACAACAATATGGAACCTTTGCAATGTAATGACAACATATATACATTTAAACAGTTTGTTACATTTAATTAGTAACAAAAAACTAGTCAGTTTGGTCTTGTTGAGCATTGACTTTTGCATATTTTAGTCGAAGATACATATCAGTTGAGTTTAGACTTTGAAAGTAAAGCAAGCAATTCCCTTAAATTTGACCACATACTTATCAACATAAATGCATAAATCAAGTCTTTGCACATATAATTTAGATAATACAGAGAAATTACTGCTTAGTGTAGCTTTATGCTTTTTGCACATATTTGTGTCCATAAAAGCGTTACTCCAGCTTTGCAGATGCTGCATTTTCTGTCTGTTAGCTATTTGGTTTGATGTTTAGATATAATTTTCCAATTTTAGCCTAATTCTTATTTATTATTTTGTCACCCAAGAGCATTTCCACAACTCTCATCAGTACCAAGCATAAAATTAGATTGAACAGTTGCTGAATTTAAAACATAAGAGAGTTTATACCAGGATATTCCTCTGAGTATGCCAGAATGATAGAATTTATTCCATCCATCATTTTTGTCTATAGCAAGGTTAATTTTTCTTGATTCCCTGGCCTACTTAGAATTTGATAGGTTATTTTAGGTAGGGATTTTTTTTTGTTATTGATCCTCATTTATATTTTCACAGTTGTAGCTAGCAAGTTTGAGCAAGGAAATTCAATTAACCTTTTTGCTGTTCATTCTGCAATCCTTGAATCAATCCGTGGCATTTATGATGTGGGCAATATCGTATCAGAGAATTGCTGTGTGTATATGAACTGTGACCTGCACAGTCTGTCAGATCCTTGTATGGCAGCAGCAGTTTAACAGAATCATATGTAGCTTCAGACTGGCTGTAGTGCTTCCACAGCTTTGTGTTGGAAGTCTCTTCATGCATCAGTGAACAGACCATAGCACTGTGTCAATACCCAGGAGTTTTTGTACCTTAGTAAAATGGACCACGTACAAAACCTAAACATAGCAAAGTCAGCCTGCTATGAAATTTCTTAGTTTTTTGACTTCTCTATGCAAGTGCAAGAATGTCACACAAATGTGTAAAATGTTTTTAGACATCTTGTCCTCAAATCATGTGAACAAATCAACTTCCCAAGGTGAAATAATATTCTTCTTAGAAGGCAGCAAACTTTCTCATCATTTTCAAAATCTGTGAGGTTCTTTGAGCAATTGACTCCCACAAAATCTTAATTGTCATCATGATGAGCAGAGCAGATAGAGTTGCCTATAGTTATGTTTGTCTGGCACTCCTATAATCTTCTGTTTTGAAACCCATACAGCTTCATGAAACCTTAACCATTTGTTTAGACACAACTTTTTTTCCATCTCAGGCTCAATTCATTGTTTCAAGGTTTTTATCAAAATGAGATTCGAAAACACAAAGTGTGTAGCCAAAGGTGTATTTCTTCTGTGAAGAATCTTTTCTTTGAGTATCTCTTATGCAGAAATACAAAGGAAACTTTTATTGGAAGGGCACAAATGCAGTCATTTAGCTGGCTGCACTGCCTCTGGGAAAAAATGACATGGCTATAACTCTGGAAACTCAGCTGTCTGTGCTCTCTTTACTGTCATTAAGAACATGCTGGTAAATTTACTGCACTTTTTACTTTCATTCACTAGCTCCCAGTTCCTTCCTCTGTAGCAATCACATCACTCAAATTTCCAGAAATGGCTGGAGAAGGTGTGAAGGATGCAATAGTCAACACAACATCCTTCTCTGGAATAAGACATATCTTTTAGCTCTGGTCCATTCTAGGTAATTGCCTCCTTTTATCTTGTGGTTGGTATGAAGAACCTTTCCTCTCTAGAGCAAATGATTTGCATAGACCTCTGACCATAAATGCTTTGTGACAACAGGCAGGAGAACTTTCAGCCCAACAGTGAACCTTTGATATGTGGAGAAATGCTGAGGTTCACAAACTAAGACAAAAGTTTCACCTACATGAAACTTTTCATCTTAACTAGACTTGGACTTAGAACCACGTAATTCTATTTAGTTCCAAATTTCCAACAGCTGTTCAGGCTTTAGTCATGGCAATGCTATCTACCCTAGTGCTTTGAGTGAATAATCAAATTTTGCCTTATGTAAAGGCTTCAAACTTGCATGTAAACAATTTTTTTTTCAAATATGTATTTTTGTTTCAGAGTTTGGATTAACGGGTGGTTATTTCATCCATTTACATCCCAGCATTGCTCAGTATCTCTTTTCCCTCCTGTCTTTCAGGATAGCAAACATCAGTATCAGTCAGGTATTATGGCTGTGGGAGAAGGTAACTTCAGCTATCTCAGATTAACTGGAACAAGGGTGTGCCTGTGACCAGCTGATTTATATTCTGGCTTGCCTTACAAGTAACTTGCTCATAAGACACCACCTACTGTGTCACATCATTTCCCAATATACCAGAGAGCTTTTTAAAAGAAGGATTAATTTTTTACCTGATGGATGTTTGAATGGCTTCTTTAAATGCTGCCATGTGTGTGTGAAATACAGCTGCCTCCAAGAAGTCTCACACTCTGAGAACTTCACAACTCTTGTCAAATTCTCTTCTTTTGGGATCATAATTTTTAGCATGGACACGGCCCAAAGTTGTTCAAGTTGTACATATGTGAGCAAGGGGATGGGAGGAGGTATTCCAGCACTGAATTTGTCTTTGCTTGAAGCACAGATTTTTCCTTACGAAAAAGAAGGAAAGGATAAAGAACTTAAGCACATCTCCATATACCACGTGTATTTTCTAGACCACATTTTTCTTCTTAAAATTCAAGCTGCATATCAAAGCTGCAAACATTGTACTACAACTTGTCATAACGCAAGGCTGTGTAAGAGCTTTTAATCTACATACTTTATTCTTTGACAGGTAACCTATAGGAAAGGGAATAGTATTACAAGAACACAGGAGAACCTCTTAATTGATATTGCATTAATGTCACTCTGTGCCTTGTGATGTATTTTTGTAAAAATCAAAAAAGTATGTGGGCTCAAAAATTCCATTAAGGGAATGTGAGGTTTTAGCAATCTTTTATTCCCCTTCCTGAATTAATTTTCCAGCCCAGAGTAACTGATTTTGTGTCAGTCTAATATAAGGTCAAACTGAAATCCAAGTACGTTTTCCTTGCTAGGGAGAGGAATGCACATTTCTACTGAGCTTTACTCCTGTCTGTTGAGCATCCATTATGAAATGCCTGACTTTCACTGCTTCTTGTTATCCTGATTCTTCACAAGCCTGGAAACAGCATTTCTTTTTTTAGGCACTTCCTTTAGTGTTAGAGCTGGGATACGAGAAGCAATTGTTCCCTAATGAATTTGAAATTTACCCGTTTCCTAAGCAATGCCTTGATTAGTGGCCAATTCCCAACCAATGGCTCTGCCTGCTGCTTGGAGCTCCATTGAACTGAGTGGCAGGGGTGCTTTACACACGTGATTCAATGGAGCTCTGCAGTGGCACTGGCATTATCTGAGCATGCATATTTGCAAAACTGAGGTATAATTACAGCTGTAAATATGCATTTCTTTAAATCATCTTTAACAAAGACTTAGTTAAGAAAATTACTCTGCTCTACTCTAGAGAATAATTCTAGCACCTCTTCCCTCTGTGAAGTGCAGAGAGAGTTGAAATTTTGCATATTTGAACCTCAAAATGGAAAAGAAACAAATGGATGTCTCTCTTTGCTCACAACCCAACATCCCAATTTTATTTATGGTTTGTACTTTGTTTACCTTACCTTTCATTCTTAAAGCATGTACAGATTAGCAATGCCCATTATAAACAAAAGAATTTTTTCCTCTGGAGACTGAGCCAATCCAGTACAGAAGAGCAAGGCAGTAAACCCCAGGCTTGGAAAATATAGGATGCTCTGTTATTTTCAGCTTTAATGCTGATTCCTTGTTCTCAGTGCTCTTTTTCTTGTCATTTATTAAACAAAATCCTCCCCCTTCCCATCTTAAGAAACCAGTATGTGGGTTTAGCCTCTTTTGTGGTTCTTCGTCTCTGTACACGCTCTAACATTCATTCTTCCATTCTTGCTTATTTTCTACTAAGAATCAAGTTACATTCTGTGGGTAAAAGAATGAATATAATAAATATCAAGAAGGGATGCACACACCTCAGGTCCAACACACTGAAGGTAATGGGACAGGCTGGATGTTTATTGTAGCAGTTTTTTATGCTTCCCTTACCTTAGCCTTGGGAAGTGCTCTCTTCCTTGCCTAGGGTGAGGAAGTAAATGTTGTGACTGAGGTGCTAACTTTTCCTGACAGGATCACTGGGCTGCATAAAATGAATGGTCGAACTCAGAGCTTACAGCTAACTCATGGCAAACCAGTTCAATTGGTCTGAGCATTTCTGCTTAAGAGCTCCCAGCAAGGGCTATATTACAACCAGCCTGCACGGAGACACCAACTGAAGGTTAAAGAAGTTTTGACAAATTATTTGAACTAGCAGCACCCAGACATTGCCTACACATGCATCTTCAGCAGAGTTTACTGTCTTTGGTGTACAGTTCTTCCTGGATACACAACTTTTTACCCATAATTTTATGCAAGCAAGGCAGGCAATCAGCATTTGTGTGCAAATCAGAGCTGACACTTCCTGTGATTCTGCTGCAAATCCTAAAGGATTTTGGGTTTTTGTGAAACACAAGTCCCTGGAATTGGGGGAAAACTTGAATATTTAGAGGCAGAAGAAGAAGAGCAAGGTAAATTTTTGTCCTTTATGTTGCAGGACAGTGACTCATTGTTTTTTCCTTGCAGATATGACATCATGAACCTGCAGTACATAGAGCCCAACCGCTACGACTACGTCCTGGTTGGGACCTGGCACGAGGGCGTGCTCAATATTGATGACTACAGGATTCAGATGAATAAGAGCGGAATGGTCCGGTCGGTGTGCAGCGAGCCTTGCCTGAAGGGCCAGATCAAGGTGTGCCTCAGACACTTCCTTTCTGCTGTAGAAATAGGAATATCCAGTCAGTGTTTTTTTCCTAAACCCAAGCAAGCTCCTTTCCAGCCAATGGGTAGGACTTCCTTTCCTTCAGGAATGCCAAAATGATAGAATCCTAGACTAATATCTTTCTCTAACAACAGCATATACAGGCCCATGTTTTCTAAAATTACCATTTGTACGGATGCAGAATCTTCTAGTGTGACAGAATTTGAGTTTCACCTTATGTGAGAAAGATTTTCACTTAGTCATTGCCTACAACATTCAATGGCTGTGATTCACCTGGGGGCTGATCTTGAAAATATTGTGACCCACAGGAGTCTAGTATTTTGTTCCAGCAGTTACACCCGCAAGGAAAAGTTGAAAAAAAAATCCAACAAACCCAATGCCTATTTATATCTCATGTTCACAACAGGATGAATAGAAACACAAATGAAATAACTGTGTTCACCAAAGAGTAGCACTTGCATCAGGCTACAAATAATTTGCTACCAGTCATGTCTGGATGATACAAAGAGATGTTTCACCACTCTCAGAATGGTATGGATGCATTAAGTTTAAAATGGCATGAAGTCATTCAGCAAAATCTCCTTAGAGTAGACTTCCCTTTCTATTTTAATTTAATAATCACATTTGCAGCTTTTTATTTCTATATTGCTACTCTAAACAATAAGCAACTGATGATTTGGCAGAGACACAGTGACACACTCCAACATCTTGGAGGAGAAACATTATTGGTATTTACCACCCTCCGAAACATCTTTTTTCTGTTTTTGAGGTTGTGCAGTTTGTGTATTTTTATGCATAGTGTATATGTAAACACTATGCATAAAAATGCCAGCTTCAGCTCTCCTTGAAGCCTATTGGACTCTCTCCACAGACTGCATGAGGAAATGTTAAACAAAAAAAAAAAGCCCACAAAGCTAGTATTCAATAAAACAACATTTTGCATTTCACTGCTGTACTCATCTCTGCATATAGATGGATAGGAAGACCTGGAAGAAAAGGCTGGATTCCTCCTTCCTGGCAAACAAGGGCAGAGTCTTTGTCAGAGCCCTAGGAGCCAGAGATATCCTTAATCTTTCTTTCAGCCTCAGGGTAATGAAACTAGGAACCAAGACAAGGAAATAATCTTTTCAGCATTGGATCATGACATTTAGCAGCCCTCACAGCAAAGAAAGAAATTTTTCAGGGACATTTGTCCCTAAAAGAGCTGCTCTGAAGCATGAGGTTGGTCACTGCTTGCTTTTTTTTTTTATGCTAAAACCCAATAGATCCTTTTAGCACGATGTTTTGCAATTTGTTCTTATTTTAATTTCTATTTTCACTTGTGTAATGAGCCCCAAAGGGACTTCCAAATAAATTGGAATGTATGTTTATGTGAATGTGCTTGTGTGTACATGCATATATATGTATTTATATGCATTAATAACTCCTGATTCTAACCTTTGAATTTGTTTACTGCTTTTTACTATGCAATAGATATTAAGCATGGGCTGAGCTGCTTGTCCTGACCTCTGCCATCTCACAGATTAAGCCTCAAGTTTGATTGAAAATATGACATTCACCATGCCTCTGTACCAGAGGCAAAATGGTTTTGTACTTTTAACTCAGAACAGCTCTCCTCAAAACAAAATAAAATTGTCCCCAGAGGTTATCCTTGAATTCCTTAGCACAGATTTTAATACAGGGATCGATACAAAATCATGATTGGTGTTTTCTAGCTGTTTGAAATGTGCCATACACAGGAATCCTGTCATGTTTTAAACACTGTATTGTGTTGTGTGTTTGCTGGGGGGTGATGGAGTGTGCCTCTTTGTTTTCTGATAGACGATGAGAACCGAGGATGTATTTTGTAATGCAGGTAATCAGGAAAGGAGAAGTGAGCTGCTGCTGGATTTGCACTGCTTGCAAGGAGAATGAATTTGTTCAGGATGAATTCACCTGTAAAGCCTGTGAGCTCGGCTGGTGGCCAAATGCTGACCTGACAGGTAGGCATGTATCCCTCCAAACACATTCTTTTCCTGCAGGACACGAGGAGAGTGCTGTGTGCTGGACAGTAAGGTGGCAGAGATATTAAAGGTACATATTTGGACACATGTTCCACTGCAGTTTAGGGTGACCGTCTTTCAGCTTAGTGCAACAGCAGAGACAATAAAGACAGCAAAATTTCTGCCAAAAAGAAATGTTCTAGTCTGTCGGTTCCTTTCCTTCATTTAGCACAAGTATTAATAAAGCTGTTAAGACTCTAATGACTCAGCAGCATTTGCTGCAATTTAGCAGTGACTGTCGCAAGAGTTCAGTGCATTCTTGTCATATTGACTTGATACTCTTTTCTGACCATTTTAACATGCAATTAGTAGCACTTTATCTGGGATTTCAGGACCTTCAGTAACTGATTACTGGACTCTTGTTTGGCGTAAAGATCATTCCCACTGGACCCACCAGCAAGAGGAATTTTAAAATCCTGAGAAAAGCTGTCTGGAATGAGTTAAGTCTCCCTTGTGTATATGCCTAGATGAGTTGCATGCTTTGACACCCTTCTGTTTATTTTTTACCTATCAAGGTCAACCTCCACTTCTGCTCTGGGCTTTGCAGCAACCACTACCCCAAAAAAAAAAAGCTACAACACATTGAGAAGTATCACCCTGACCTTAACATTTGCTTTGTATCACTATGAAAGACTAGAGGCACCTCTGCCCCGTGTCACCTCTGCAGATCTTGGATGTCAGCATTCAGCAGGGCATTATTTCTAGTCACAGAAACAATCTAAACACCTAGCCAAAGATCAAATGTGCAACTTAACACATCTTTGTCCTTTACCATGACTGGCTGACAGATATTGCTGCAACTTTTAGCACATAGGCAAAATCCTCAAACTTCAGTGATTTTCTTCTATAAGATACTTCAAGCTAGCAATTGAAGCCAAATGAGCTCTCAGAGCATGTATTTTGAGAGGAAAGCTAGCTACTTCTCCAGGTAAAAATACAGTATTAATCACAAGAGACTGGTAAATGTGACTCATTTTCTGACTTGGCTTTCCATGGAAAGTAAGTTATGGTTGTGTCCCAGATGTGTGTGTGTAAATGTCTATATTCCATACCTCCCACTCCCACCGCCCTGCCCTGCCCCTACTCTGGTATGCAGCTAAACAAACAGATTTGTAGGGATACAGAAATCTTCAGACCCTTCAGGTTTCATGTCAGTGGGTTGTAAGTAGAGGAGTTAATGAAAAATATATTCTGTAAGGGCTCAAATCACAGAAACACATCTGGTATTAATAGACACAAAAAAATCCACAGAACCTTTCATAAATGTCCTATTTGAAAAGCCCATATTCAATTCCTGCTCCTAGGACACCAGTATCTGCTAATTTTAAAGTAGATATCCATACACAATCAAGTTTTCCTGGTCTTGGAAGTTCACAGAATTGCTTGTATCTACTCTTCAGGGAAGAAAAAGGGTTCTATTGATTAAAAAGAAGCCAGAATAAAAACCTGGTGAGAGATCAATATGCACTTGAAAGAATATGGTTCAGAGCTACCAGCTGCTCAGAGTTGCTCAGAAGGGGTCATGTCAAAATGACAGGCACTGCTGAAAAGAGTTGTGGAAAGAATCAGTGCTGGAAAAAATCTCCAGGGCATGTTGCAATCTATTAACTTTTAATGAAATCAGTAGATGACCTGCTGATTTGTGTTTCTTCTCAGCAAGGAGACTGGACTGCTGCTGTTCTGAAATCACAGTAACCTCAGCCAAATGACAGCATAGTCATCGACTTATTTCCTAGAGAACATTGAAATGGCAGTCTGCTCCTGCACAGCTTCTTCAATATAATTGAAGAAAAAATCTTCTTTTTTAACCCCTAAAATTGATTTACTTGAATTATACTACAAAGTACAAAGCTGCGAAAGGAAGCTGATGCCATCCTAATATTTAGAAGAAGGGGAATTATCTAGATAAACTCTGTCTCTTGAACTTTGTGGGAGTCACCATTGGTATGATTTAATCTGGAATTCGGTTTTCTTGCCAGGACTCCCATCAAATGTGTTTTTATAGCTTGATTTTATGTGTTGTATTCATACACTGACAGTCACCATAGCATCTAGACACAGGCGGTAACATCTCACAGTACAGATTGTTTTTCCCTTTGCCTTAAATCTTAAATGCTAAACATGTATGTGGTTTTAGACTAATTTTCCATCCCAGATGGAGGCTCTAAAATCCTTAATCCTTTTAAGAAATGTGAAGCACATACTAACCTATTTTGTAAGACATACTTTTCAAGGTGCTCATTTTCTCTATTTGAAATCAATCTCTGTGGCTCAGCAATCATTTAATGACATTTTCATTTTATTTTTAAATGTACACAACTTTTTTAGATTGCTTCCCTTAAATATGAATGCAGTGAAATAGACTCAGCAGACACAAAGGATTTCTCACAATAGATGATGAAAACCTGACCTGAGAAATAGTCACTAAAACCAGTACCTTAGACTTTGTGCCAAGAGAAATCTTTTATAGTACCAGAATATAATATAAGATGGTTGAATGTCAAGCTATTAAACTCCGTTTACATAAATCATCTTAAATAAGCAATAAAACAAGATAGGAAAGGAAGTTTTACAGTCTTATGAAAAGAATCATAAGGTTTTGGGGCCATCAGTTACCTGGGACGGGTTAATGACCTCAGAAAACATCATAGTTTCTCTTATTGTCCTTGCGCTATGGATATAGTAAGAAAAAAATTTATTAGCCTTCTGATCTTGGAAATTATTCACAGTCAAAATGCAGGGAAAATAGTACATGAAAACTACTAGACAGCTTTTACCAGAAAATTTTAACTGTGAAGCTTTTGCTCTGATTTTTTTGAGGTTTGGTTTAATTGTTGAGGGGGCTGTTTTGTTTTGTTTTGTAAATGCATGCACAATTTCCTGAGTAATCCTCCCCCAGTCTCAGTGGGGGTCCAAGCCCACTTCCTCCTAGCTGGGAAATGACCCACCTTCACAGGTGCTGACAACCAACAACTGTTAGCTGGTAATAAGCAGCCTAGGGAACTTTTTGCAGTTTGTACAATATGTGGTTCTTGGGCTTGCTGATACACAGGAATTACACTGGTTTAATGAAACATTTCTAAGCAAATCTTGCATGGAATAAGTTTAGAGTAAATGATAGGCTTAACTACCATGTTGGATCTGGGTTAAGCCCCTGAAAATATAGTTTAAAATGGAGTAGTGTGAGTAAGTCTTGATGTTGTTAAGCTTAAAGTCCATATTAAAACTTAACCCTTCCAACAATGACTGACCAGATCCTTGTATGAGAAGAGCTTCACTTTTATTAATCAATGAGCAAGACCTTCTGATCCTTAGTCTTTTATTAAATCATAGAGGAGCCAGGTTCCAGTCAGGGCTGCTAAAGCTAATGGCCAAAGGTTCACACTTCTAATAAAGAGGTTTTCCTTCCTATTTCACCACAAAAGTATTGGCTAGAAGTATGGATTTCCTGAGTCTTGAACAGACCGTATTGAGCAAATTAATTTTCTTTATAAAATTTTCTCTTTATTTTATAATATTTTCTTTATAAAATAAGACCTCTGGTAGCCATTGCTATAATTTCTAATGTTTTTCATGTTATGGGCATGTGTAAGAACAACACCTGTAGTTAAGTCAGCTTGGAGACAAAGTGGACAGAAGTACAAAACCTTCTTTCAGTTCACATGACATTGGCCGACACTAAAAGTTCAAGAAGAAATTTTCCATGTCAGGACTTTGCCTTGGGCTAATTTTTTTTTTTTAAATTAAACAAAAATTTTTTTCTCCTGTTTCTCAAAATGAAGTTACAGTAAAAGTGTTCAACCCTTATCCATACCTTGTCTTACTTCTCAATTATTTTGAAGGAAGGACTTTAGAGTACAATACAGGTATCTACATTAGAGCAGAAATGTCTGGTGGTACTTTTTGTCACAATATTGAAGATGCATATAAATTAGGCAAAACTGTGAGACTCAGAAACCTTTTTTTCATAGATGGTTTCTCCAAATACACTCCACACTGAGGAGGAAGGAACTGAGCACAACTTTTGCCCATCACAACATCAGGGGCCCTGTTAAGATCTAGCAGCAAAAATTAGAGGAAAAAATGCTTCTCTCACAAGCTTGCTGACATTAACATCTTTTCCTGTTCTTTCTGGCCATGTCCAGGAATTTAGGCGGAGTTAATGAGCAGCCAGTCCAGGACCAGAAAAGCTGGAGCAGCAGTTTGTAGTGAAGATATCTAGGTGCAGAGGTGGCTAAAAAACCTGAACTGTTAGGTGAACAGAGACAGGGATGGTGGGGGACTGGGAGGAAAGATACTTGAGAGTTGGGGGAAAGGCAGAAAAGTTGAGTTGTGTCAAAGGGAAACTGGAGGAGGACGGAAACAAGAAGTAGAAGAGGCTGTGGATACTTCTCTTGAGATAAAGAAACACGTTAAAAGCATTTTAGAACGACTCAGTCAAGATCAGAAATTAGAAAATGCCATAATGAAAGATGGCCATAACAGCCTCTCAACCAACATCTTGTTACACAAAGGATTTTATTTTCTCTGTAGTGTTTATTGCTGGTATTACTTCAGCACAGTGAGGAAGATATCCAGAGATTCCTTTAACTTGAGTGTGGGAGAGAGCAGTTAAGTACTGTCTTAACAGATACATATATTTGCACATCTGTACTAGTCAGAAAGGAGAGTCTTTCCAGTTTTTATCTAAAGGCATGCATATTCTGTGGGTTTGACTCTTCCAAGAGAATTAAATTATGTTATTTAGAGGGGAAAAAATGACAAAATAAGAATGAGATACTGTGAAGAGAAAAAAGCAGAAGTGTGCTAAGGTGTAGTATCTACAATATAGTTCCATTAAAATTTTGGGTTTATTACCACTTTTCCATCCACAGACCTCTGATTAATTTATGGTATTTATAAAACCAGTCTCAAAAAATGTAGTAGATCAAACTATAGTGATTGTGGTAATGATTGAATAAATTAATCTGAGAAGGTAAAAACCTACCTGTTTGCAACAATGCTTTTCCTGCTGAAATGAAGAGATGATGGTGACTTTGTCTGTGTTCTGTTCCCAGCTGTACCTTTGTTATTCTGTGCTTGTAATCAGGTATCTCTAAAAGCAGATATTTCCAAATCTAATTTCCTGTTGCAGCATCATGAGGAAATGTTTGGAACACCCAAAATGCATGGCTGTTTTTTGAACATATTAATCCAAACTTTTCCATCATGCAGTTCACTCCTTTGTAAGATGTTTTTAATAATCCACATCACGTAGACATATGCTAATGCTTGGATTATACTGAGATCCAGCAAAAAAAGGTTCTTCTAGGAGCTGCTTTTCTAACACTCTGTTTCTCTTCTGTACACTGCAGGCTGCGAACCCATCCCTGTAAAGTATCTCCAGTGGAGCAATATAGAGTCTATTGTGGCTGTGGTCTTTTCCTGCCTGGGGATCCTGGTCACCATGTTTGTCACCCTTATCTTTGTGCTCTACAGAGACACCCCTGTTGTCAAGTCCTCCAGCCGCGAGCTCTGCTATATAATCCTGGCTGGCATCTTTCTGGGTTACGTCTGCCCTTTCACCCTTATAGCTAAACCCACCACGACCTCCTGCTACCTCCAGCGCCTCCTGGTGGGCCTCTCCTCCGCCATGTGTTATTCCGCCCTAGTGACCAAAACCAACCGCATCGCGCGCATCCTGGCGGGCAGCAAGAAGAAGATCTGCACCCGCAAGCCCCGCTTCATGAGCGCCTGGGCCCAGGTGGTCATCGCCTCCATCCTGATCAGCGTGCAGCTGACATTGGTGATCACACTGATCATCCTGGAGCCCCCCATGCCCATCCTCTCCTACCCCAGCATTAAGGAAGTTTACCTTATCTGCAACACCAGCAACCTGGGCGTCGTGGCTCCTGTGGGCTACAACGGACTCCTCATCATGAGCTGCACGTACTATGCCTTCAAGACTCGCAACGTGCCTGCCAATTTCAACGAGGCCAAGTACATTGCATTCACCATGTACACCACTTGCATCATCTGGCTGGCCTTCGTGCCCATCTACTTCGGGAGCAACTACAAGATCATCACCACCTGTTTCGCAGTGAGCCTGAGCGTGACAGTGGCTCTGGGGTGCATGTTCACTCCCAAGATGTACATCATTATAGCCAAGCCCGAGAGGAACGTCCGCAGTGCCTTCACCACCTCAGATGTGGTGCGTATGCATGTCGGGGATGGCAAGGCACCTTGCAAGTCCAACACTTTCCTCAACATATTCCGGAGAAAGAAGCCAGGGGCTGGAAATCCAAAGTAAGTGGATTGACTGCAGGTACACCTCTATCTGTATATGTCCCTCTCTTTGCCATCCTTTCTTGGTTGACTGTAGTCTGCTGAATAGTAAGGTATGTAATAGTTTTTCATCTCATGTGTAGCAGAGAAGGTGGGAATGACCCTTTATTTCTAAGCCTCAGATGGATATTGGCATGTTGCTCATTATCTTCTCAACCTGCTCTGAAGGAGCCCTGTACTGCTGGGGCAGGTCAGGCAGTGGCAGAGTGACCAAGCTCCATAGCAGCTTCTTGCATCTCCCTGTCACATGTGCGTGTGTACAGGAATCTCACGCCCTGAGGTGCAGTTGCTCTGCACCATGTTCAAACTGAGGTGCTACTGTAGCCTTTTAGAAAAGAAATCTCTGTCTAAATGATTGTAAATCACATCTACTTGCCCAAGGCCACTGGAATGTGTGTGAAAGCTGAGGACTGAACATAAGTTTTTAAGGTAGTGTGTTGTGACAGTCCTCATGACTGTGATTCAAAAGCACCCTCCATGTTATCCCTGTGCTCTATTTAATACTCAGTATTATGAGCAATACTCTTACTCATCATTTGTGTAAATCTCTCCGTGTTCTCAAACTCAATGTTGGTGTGAAAGTTGCAGAAGTCAACTGAGGGTGAAAATGAACTTGCATTCACATCTGTGGAACTCGTTATTTTCCTTGCTAATAATTAAAAGCAAGCCAGATGCAGCAGAGCAGGAGGGAGAACTGTTACTTCAAACAGCATCTCCCTGTGAGGAGCTGTCTGAAAATTTGCATTCTTTATTATCCTATTGTTTTTTAATCTTTAAAGAAGCACTATAGGGGTACATATGATCTTAGATGATTTTTGTCTCAATTAAATAAAAATAAAAAAGCACCAGTGAAACCTACATTTCTGAGCTTCCCAACAGAACAAAAATTCAGTTAATTTCCAGTTTTTTGGGATCTGTAGTTTTCTGAGTCACTCAGGTTGGTTTTGATTCAGTTTTCATAAGAACCATTTTGATCTGTCCTGGTGATAGAGGTAATGCTGTAGAAAACCCATGCTGTGATCAATTTTATCTTTGTGCTACTTCAGTACTTTTTTTTTGTTTTGCTAGAAAGGGGGTCAGAAGGGAAGGGAATGGAGACATAAGTGACCCAAATACACAGCTCAGTGTGCCACAGAGGCCACATCAAGGCAAGGCTGCTGACTCCTGAGCTAGTCAGAGAGAGAGCAGGGAGCAGCCCTAACAGCCACCATCTACAGGGAGATGGCCAAAACTCTCTGTAGCCCAAGAGCATGAATTCCATGCAAATAGAAAGATGGAGCCTGATCCATCTTCCTCTGACTCTTATTTAGTTATAAATAAGAGGGACATCTGTAAGAAACTAGTATGGTGTCCCTGCAGTGTGGTTTTTGGCTAACAGTGTTGGTTTCTTTAAGTTATGACTGTCAAAAAAAGAGGACTTTTGAATATTTTAGGTCATGACAGACTTAATAACTAATTCTCTGTTCTGCTTATTCTTCTTCTACCTTTATTAAAAAAAAAAGTAATTTAAAAGATCCCAATGTGATATACTTAGAATACAAATCTTAATATGAGAAAATATTACATGAAAGTTAAGCTTCTCCCTCATCATTGTCATGTTTAAAACTCAACAGGGCTTACCTGAGATTTTTATCAATTTATTACATCATTTTAGTAAGATTTTCTCGACCTCTATGTTAAGCCTGCATGAGTGTTACAAAGCAAAAAAGGTCTACAGAGTTTTAAGTTGCTTTTCTAAACTAAAAGCTCAATACCTAGCTAATATGCCTTTTTGTCCCTCAGGTTAAGCATCCGTGTCTTTTATACAGCCAAATTCCCACCTCCGTCCTAAACCTCTTGTGCAGTTACTGCATGTTGTTCACCCAAACCAGCTCAGGTGCAGAGGCACCCTGGGATTGCTGATGGAAAAGGACATCTCTGTTCATGGGCATGCAGAACTGAAAGAGGTTTAATAGACAAACATGAAGCTTTGGAAATAAAGTCACAAGGCAAAACAAGAAGTAATTTCGGGGATTTGGGCAAGTTTTTTATCTCCCAGCTGAGTCCATTGCAAAGTTTCTGAGGGCATTGTGACAACGCAAATAAAAAAGTGAGGCACTGTGGAAATCAAGAAGGAAAAAGAATTTGCTGCAGCCTTGGAAGCACTTAGATAACTCAAATGTGTAATCAGGTCCTTTCTGAAACAGGACTTACAGCTACTGGTACACGCTCAATGCCCACAGGAATGATCTCAGACTGATTTTCAGTAGTTTTGTTTGTGGTTTGGTTTTGGTTTGGTTTGTTTTTTGTTGATTGTTTTGATTTTGTTTGGTTTTGGGTGGTTTTCTTTTATATTTGGTTTGGTTTTTTGTCAAACATCAAGATCTGGGATTTATTTGTGATGTTTTCAGTAATTCTGTAAGTATGTTGCTCTGTTTCTAGAATCTTCAATAGTGTCTCCCTGTGGCCACATTTTTCTGTCTATAAGTGGCCAGCAGTTCTGCACTCAGAAGATTTCTCTTCTAGATGTATTAAGCTATCTTCTTATTATGCCTTCTTCCTCTTCTTAGTTTGTTTTTCTTTTTCTGCTTTTCAGTTTTCATCTCTTTTCCTGTCTGTATCAAATCTCTTCTCTGCTTAATCTATTGAATTCCAATTCCTAAACAGAAAAGTGGCATCCATCTAAATTAAATTGGTGTGGAGGTACAGGGTTAAATTTAATTAGTTTTAAAAATGGAAACTGTTTTTCATTTACAAGGGCAGATAAAACTTATATAAGCCTTCATAAAGCCTTTTCATGCAATGTTGTGCTGTTAGTTTAACTAGTATAGCTTGGGGACTAGAGCAAGATGAGACACTGTTCCTTTCTCCTTCCTAAAGTAGAGCAAAAGAATTAACCAGGGAAGTCTCCTAACACAGGATCAATTAATCAATGCAAACCTTTCAGCTGCCTCTGGTGCTGACATAGTGATCAAAAAAGTCATCTTGAAAAACATCTCTCCCAGCTGCATTGCCAACAGAGTTTCAGGGAAAATAAATTTCTTAGTAATGCTGGTGTTCACATAAATAACAGAGCACACTGCCTTTACTGATCTGTTGTGCTCTCAAGATGCTACGTGCAGTCTTGGGGGTTTGATCTTGCTCTTACTTTGATTGAGTTAAACCAGGAGCGGTCACAACCAGCACTGTTTTCCATAGAGCTGGTTGGGAATTTTCCAGTGGAATACATATGTTTTCTACCAGAAAATTCTGGCCCTTCAAAACACTTCATAGAATTGGGCTTTGCTGGTAAGTATTTACCCTGGGCCAGGGGGACATTTTTTCCCACGGAGAGAGGAAGACATTGGGAAATCATGAGGGAATCTTACCCCAGTATTTAAAGTGCTCACTTAGGCTAAGATCATCTCCTTCATTTCCCAGGTAGATGATTTATAACTGGATTGTGCACTGTCCAGGGCAAGTCTCTTTTCTGTATGTTCTTGTCCAGCAGTATTTTGGAACAGAGATAAAAATATTGTGGTGCAGACCTCTGGGAAATACTTGGTATAATTCTGTGAGAGAGCTTGAATCTGGGTCTGAGGGATCCCTCGTGAGTGTCTTCAGTACCAAGCAACTGTCATCCTTTCCCTCTTGTCAAATGAATACTTAAATATGTATAAAAAAATGGAGCAGCTCCATCAGGAGAGATGAAGAGAGAGGGATATGTGCTGCTTGTATTGAAGTTTTGTGGGGACATTTATTCGTTTGCTGCTTGAAGGTATTACAAGATCCTGGCTGTTATAGGATGATGGCATACCAGCATTTGTTAGGAGAGCTTTTTGCATCTTTTTTTTATTTTTTCCAGATGTGAGAGGGAAACATTTGTGTATGGATCTTGCTGTGATTTTTATCCTTCTTATTGGTCTCAAAAATTATTTTGGTCTATGAGGGTCAATGAGCTTGAAGAGAACGACACTTTTACAGTGCCTGAATGATCCTTCCCTGAGGAAGCAATGCTGTCTTCTCTACTAGATGAAGGAAAAAAACAAACAGTGACACTTCAGATGCTGATTCTGATGAGGGTTCAGGAAATGCCTTCTTCAGGAGTGCTGTAGGGGGTTGTCACAGAGAGAAAGCTCATTTTGTATCTTTGGATAATAAATTCCAGGTCTGGCAGTGATGCTTATCTGCTCCCTCAGTCTTCACATCTGAATTATTTTAAAATTTATGGTTGAAACCCCAGGTCTGGACACCATTTTAGTGCATTTTGAATCAGAGTTAGTAAGGATTTAGTTGTCGATATACATTATGTAGCAAAATCTGAGTTAAAAGGAAGCCAACTAGCAAGACTTACTGAATGGCCAGGACTCCACATTAATGCATAGGCTATCTGCTTTTCCCTTATAATTTTAGTATATTTACATTTAATTATTTTGCAACCAGCTGTCTGCCTTTAGGAATGAATAGCTGATTTAAAGTACTTCTAAACATGTAATTTATCTTTTTCACACATTTCAGCAGTCCATGCTTCTAGACTGCTGTCACAGGCATCCAGTTCCCTGGGCCACAGATCTCTCAAATGTATTTATTTTATTCCAACAAAAATTTGCAGACAACTCAACATCCCCTAGTAACTTCTTCCTGCCTCCCTTTATCCTTTCTCCCTGTGTGCTGGCTTCCTACATACAGTTTTTTAACTGAGAATCAGGATTCTCAGATAAAAACCTCTAGTAACATGTCTGTTCCTTACCATGGCTTAGGGAACCACCTGCTTTTTTGTCTTGCCAGTTATAAAATTATCTCCAGGTGTTCTGAAGTTGATGTTTCTCTTTACATTGACTTGCTGAGTTGCCATTTCATCTTGACCAAACTGTACTGACAAGCCGTGCTTTTCTGGGCTCATTTCCCTTGGCCATTCACAGTCCACAAAGGTTTTTGGGCTCTTCACCTCCTTCATTTTCAAAGCCTCCCACAGACACGTGGTGAGGGGAATCTTAGCACAA